GCGCTGTCCAAAGACATCCATGGTCATGTGGCCAACATGACTAAATGCCGAAGGTGCACGGAGGCACTGTTACCTTCCCACCAAAGTTGGTTTCTATTTTTCTACTTGCATTTTTTTACATGCTTTCGAACTACTAGGTTGGCAGAAGCTGGGACAAGTAACGGGAGCTCACTCAGTTAGCCTGCACTAGGGATTCGATCTGCTGAACTTTCTGATTGACAAGTTCAGTGTCTTAGCCACTGAGCTACTGAATCACTGAACCAAGAATGAGTTTGATTCTACAGCAGCAAAAAAAAAAAATGAGGAAAGAATAAGAAATAGAATTATTGGAACAAGTGAATGAAGAAGATAAATGGAGGAGGTGTGAACAGCAAAAAAAAAAAGGTGGAGAAAATTCTCAGAGTTATGGAACTATGCATGCAGCTCAAAAGAAGGGTAAAAAAAGATCCTAGATTGTTCTGTAATACATATAGGCACATATAGATAAGGTTCATCACACAAAACAAGCAAGAGAGCCAAAATCATAGAGTTCTACCAGTCCTCTCCACTTACTTCTTTCCCCCCATGTTTTGAGGTCTCTTGTTCTTTTGCTTCTTGGCTCCCTTTTGATTTGGATCTACATTGCCCTTTTTTGCATCTCCCACTACAGGCCTTCTGGTCCCCTTTGGCAAGAGCTTGAAGCCTCGTGAGCAACTTGGCCTTCCAAGCCTCAAAATCAGCCTCAATGCTTCCATGCTGGCTCTTCACCACATTGCTGTCCCCTAGAGCACATGACAGAATGCGTCGAGCACCCAGCATCCACAGCCACTTGTCAAGGTTCCTGCTCACCTGCAGAGGAAACAAGAGGCAGAGAGGCAATGTTTGGATCATAACAGGTGAACGATTCTAATCATAATGGGCATATTTGAAAAGTTCCAAATTCAAAGGAGTCTCCTTCCTTCTTCCCGTTGTATCACTTCCATCAACCCTTTTGTCTCTAAACCCACAAGAGCCTTCATATTACCGTATTTTTCAGAGTATAAGACGCACTGGAGTATAAGACGCAACAAGGTTTTGAAGAGGAAAAATTTTAAAAAACGTTTTTGCACTCTGCAAACCTCCCAAAAACGGCCCATTTTTCGCAAAAACTGGTCCATTTTTTTTCTCAAAAAAGGGCATGAATAGCCCTTAGGAGGCTTGTAGAGTGCTCGTGGGTGGTGGTGGAGGGGGGCAAAAACGAGCAAAAAAACAGTCCATTTTTTTGCAAAAATGAGTCCATTTTTGTCAAAAAAAGGGCATGGGTAGCCTTCAGGAAGCTTATAGAGTGCTGCTGGGGGTTGAGGGGGCAAAAAACAGGCCGTTTTTCACTCATTGCTGCCCTCCCCAGCCCCCAGGAGCACTCTGAAAGCCTCCGAAAGGCTATGCATGGCCATTTTGGTGAAAGGGGCAGAGTTTCAGGAGGCAAAAAATGCTGCATAAGACACACCCCGAAAAATACGGTCTATAGCAAACTCGGGAAAGATACTAGAGGAAGTAACTACTAGAGCCATGGTGGCAAACCTATGGCATGCGTGCCAGAAGCGGCACCCAGAGCCATCCCACGCAAGATGTGAGGCCTTGCTGGCTTCTCTTCCGCATTCCTGTGCACACATGTACACTGGTCAGTTGGCCTTCGCGCACACCGCCAGAAATCAGAAGTTTTGGTGCCGGCCCTGCATGTGCGCCGGAATGCTGCTCTTCCAAGTTTTGGCACTACTGTACGCGCGAAGGCCAGTGAGGCTGTGCGGTCCAGGCGGGATGGTTTTGCATGCCATTTCCGGCATGCAGGTCAGCACATGGTGACGTAAAAGGTTAGCCATCACTGTACTAGAGAATAAAAGAGAATACACACATTTTTCTATCTGTTAAATGAAAAGCTGCCATTAATCCAACGTGTACTCATTCATTCATTGGCATCCTTCAGTCTCAAAAGACTATGGTATCGTTCTCTGGAAAGAGGTCCTAAAAAAGCATCTGGTACGGCTAAAAAGGCCAATTCAGGAGTGGCAATCCCTTCCACACTGAGGGCAGATACATTCTGTCCCCTGCCCAGCCCCCAAATTTTGCTGGTTCTGGGACTGCCTCTTTGCCTCAGCCTGCCGAATAAGTGTCTCTTCGAATTGGAGAAGGCCACACTGCGTCTTTAGCTTCCAAGCTGAACGATCAGAGGTCAAGGTTCCCCAGCTGTTAATGTCCATTCCCAAGGACTCTTGCATATATCCTCATATCGCAGCTGTGATCTTCCTCTGAGGCGCTTTCCTTTCACTAATTCTCCATGTAGATATTTTGGAATCCAACCATCGGCCATTCTCACGACATGCCCAAGCCAGCATAGACGTTGCTGTTTCAACAGTGTATACATGCTAGAGATTCCAGCATGTAAGACAGTCACTATTGGACATCTCAGTCAGAGTGATGGAGTAGTGAAGAAAAAATACCCTTCTGACTGCCTAATTTTTTTTCAGCTATCCCTCTAACTTGCAAATTCACCAGAAGTTCTTTAAAGTGAAAATAATGTTCATGCTCCACTATTGTATTTCATGACTTTCTACTGATTCCATATAACCGATTATATTTGTCACTTGTTGAAAAGATATTAAAATATCACCTGGTTTACTTTACAACCATTTCTACAAAATTGACCCTGGTCCTATAGTGTTTGACTTATGACCACAATGACTTACAACTACAATTCTGAGATCAACAGTGCTTGTAGCTTGAGAACAAACTGTATCTATAACATGCAGATATGTGGGATTTTTTTTTTAAAAAGGAAAGTGGTACTCACAGTGTTGAAGTGGTCAGCATACACTGAATTTCCCAAACCGAAGACAGCGTATCGCAAGCCCTTCAGATATGCTTTGCCAACTCTGAAGTCATTGGCCGTCTCTTCCAGCCACTTGCAGAACCAGGCTGCATTCGCCGTTGGTTTGCCATCAGTGTAAGTGGCAACTAAAAACACGCAGATATTCTGGCTGCTTATCTGAACAGTTAAAGGAAAACAGGTTTTTTTTGTCTGTCATAACATTTAAATCAACCACAGTTCTTTACTGTTCATAGTAAAAAAAGAAACGCCAAAATTTCATTCAAAATAACTCATCTTTAAACTCAGATGAAAAGAATTCTTCTCACTCCATTCCTTCTCAGATTCTGCATGCCACTCAAGGATATCAAACTATTAACTGTTCAATATATTATTAGTATGGTATTTTTCATGCAAAGGAGATGTTTTGTAGCCTTTTTCTCCTCAAATTCTCCCAAATAACATCACTATTTGGAATATTATTCTCTTTTGATGGAAGACAGACCATTCTGAAGAAAGTCTATCGGGTCACTAAGAGTTGATACTTACTTGATGACATAATCAAACAATTAAAATGTTATTTTGATATTGCTGTTAACCATTAGGACATTGATTCTGTCATCTGTCACTGTCTAATCTGTCCATCTGAAATCAACCATACTTTAGGCAATTTACCGTATTTTTCGGACTATAAAATGCACTGGAGTATAAGAAGCACCAAGATTTTGAAGAGGTAATTTTTTAAAAATAAGTTTGTGCCCTCCCTGGCCCCCAGGAGCACTCTGTAAGCCTCCCAAACTCTCTGCATGCCCCATTTTTTTGTGAAAAAGGGGAATGCAAAGAGTTTGAGAAGCCTGCAAAGTGCTCCTGGGGGCTGGGGAGAGCAAAAATGCAATGCTTTGGGGGGAGGGGATTGGGAGGAGAAAAACAGCCCCCTTTTTCGCAAAAACGGGTCGTGTGGAGGGTGTGGGAGGCTGTAGAGTGCTCCTGGGAAGGGCAAAAAATGAGCAAAAAACAGGGCATGCAGAGAGTTTGGAAGGGCTGCAGAGTGCTCCTGGGGGCTTGGGAGGGCAAAAAAAGTCCCGTTTTTATTAAAAACGGGCTCATTTTTCGCTTATTTTTGCCCTCCCCAGCCCCCAGGAGCACTTTGCAGGCCTCCCAAACCCTCTGCGCGCCCATTTTTGCAAAAAACAGGACAGGGTTTTCAGGAGGCCAAAAATGCTGTATTCGGTGTATAAGACGCACCCAGATTTTCACCCTTTTTGCGGGGGAGGAAAAAGGTGGGTCTTATACTCCAAAAAATACGGTACATAGTTAAAAACAGAATACAGGTTTAGAATAAAATTAAAACTGCAACTAGAAAAAAAAGGATACATTTATAGAACTATGGAAAATGGCTCTACTGTATACAGTTAATCAAAAAGGTCCTTTAGAAGAGCTATTTTTTTTCTCCTGTATCTGGAAAACCATAAGGCTGGAGGTAATTGTTTTGGGGCCATGTTATACCAAAGGTAGGGTACTGCTAAAGAAAATGTCAGTATTGCCCATCATGATGCTTCTTGGGAAATGGGGATGCTTAACGGGCTTCCCTTGATGTCCAGGTAGTATAACTAATATGGAAAAACAGTCCCCAAGCTCAGATTCATATATGGCTTTAGTGACTAGCACTTTAAATTGTACCTGGAAATCCACTGGTAATGATACAGCTCCCAGAACAGAGGTGTAATATACCAATAATGTAATTGAATGTGTATGCCGATGCCTTCTGGATCACATGAAACTTTGGTGTGGTTTCAAGGCAGCCTCACATAGAGCAAATTGCAGTAATCTAATAGGGAGCCTCAGTTTGGTTAAAGGCACTGGGCTAAAAATTAAGAGATTCAGAATTGTAATTCTGCCTTAGGCACAAACTCAGCGCGATAACTTTGGGTGGTCATTTTTTTTTCAACCTTAAGCAGAAAGCAATGGAAAACATTTCTGAAAAAATTGCCAAAAAAACTGCATGGACTTGTCCAGGAAATTGCCAGGAGTCAAAATTGACTTGAAAACAAACAAATCAAAAGATAATAAAGGCATAAACAACCATCCTCAGTTCATCCAGCTCCAAGCAAGACCTCAGGTGATGCACCTCCCACAGCTCTCCTGGCCACAGTTTTTACTTGCTCTTAAAGCAGGAGCCATCAAACCACGAGGACCCACAAATGACATTCCAGCTAGAAGAGATGAAGTACAAACCTCATCTATGAGAGAGTCATCCGGATCGTAATCTTCCATGTTAATAATTTCTGCTGGCAAATTAATGGAGGCAACAGCTTCAGTAAGTACCAGTGCAAACCGCTAGAGAGAAAGAAAGAAAGAAAAAACCCAGTGAAGATCTGTTTCATACAAGAAAGCCACACTAGGTGATGCTTTGACTGATCTATGAAGAAGAAATTGCTTCAGTTTTATCTCTTGCTATTTTTCAAAGATTCTTGGGTGCAAGGCAGGGAGATGCTAAGGTTTAGCACTGAAACAGCAGCTTGGTCTCACACATAATCCCCACCATTATTTAAGAACTGCAGACATCAGGAGAAACCCCCGACGACAAAAACCTTAGAGGCTGCTTCCAGTATTTGGCAGTGGGAAAACGCTGAAATGGAAGGATTCCAGCAACTCTTGTGATTGGAAGATGCCCGTACACAAACATTAATGTATCTAAACTGGCAGGAAAAATCTCCACTCTGAATAGGACTCAGAAGGACTTGGAGTGGGAAAAAAGCAGAGATGGGCAACCTGCCACACACAACCTCTCAAATCTTTGGTTGCAATTCCTTATAAAAAAATCAACAATAATGTCTTCCAAATGGAAAAATTCTAAGAGTACAATGTACCCTCTAAAAATAGGCTTACCACAATGAAAACAAAACACCAATCTCTCCCCAATCCTCAAATTCCATTACTCTCTATGCTATCTATGATCAGCCACACACACTTTTGCTTATCAATCTTATACTGTAGCCCTTGTCCTCTTGCTAGAGAGATAGAAATGTGGCTCTCCGACAGGAACTTGAAAACTCTGTGCATCACCATGCTGGTTTGCTGAAGTTGAGGATACTGTTCTCTGATCTGATACAGGACAACTGCTACAAATGCCCAAAAGGGCACGTTATTCCTCAATTACAATCCCAGTGAGCTTGGATGAAAAAAAGAGTTATTGGCTGAAAATTATCTGGACAGTGTTAGTGTTGAATGAGAATTTGAACTGTAATCTCTGTACTGCAAATCTAATACCGGAAATGCTACATGACACTTGCAACTTCAAGGCAGGAATTATGGATGTAGCAGCCAAGAAGCCTTTAATTTTGATCCAGTTTTTAAGTATAACTACGCACCACTTAAGGAAACATTGGACAGCATTTAAATCCCCTTTCTTATGTCTTTTGTTCACTATCACTACCAGTTTATTACACCCCCCAAAAATTTCATATTCAAATTATTTCTTTATAAGTAACAGATTTTCAGGACTCAAATTAGGATAAAAAAGGGCCAAACTCTAAAGATAGGAATTAACCAAAAATATCTCTGAGTGTGCTTTTTTTCTTCTGAAAATGGTCAACTAACTCTACTCAATGAAAGGAGAAAAAAGACATGGCTGCAGGATAAATTAATTCACCTCTTGCTTAATGAACTATTTACCTTTGCTGTTCCAGTCTGGGAACCATAGAATACCTTCACTCCAGCTACATGGACTTTCTGAAGGCTTGGATCTTGCTGTTCTTTTTCAGCAGCTGTGATTTTAGGAATTCTAAATTCTGCAAGGCGATTTTTGTTCTACAAAGGAAATATTTAAACAACAGAGTCCCAGAAATAAACTTTATCTCTTTTTTCCTGGTGCCATAAAATAGTCATTTTACGCCTCAATGCAGATGACATACAAGTTAAAAAAACAGAATTGTCTAAGAAAGTTTTCTCTTACAGAGGAATACATCCTGTACCTGAACAAGAGAAATTAAGTAGCCAGGCAAGAAATATCATCCACTAATACCGAGAGGACAACATATCAATTTGTCCTTATTAAATATCCTCAAAACATTTGTATTTTACCCTAATCCTGGCTCTATGTTTGCCAAAATCATGTCATTCCAGATGTTCTATGTACCAGATAATATATATACACGATTCTATAAATATATTTCATTCCCTGGAGAAAAAAACAAGAAACTACAACTATACTTGTGTAGTTTGCCTCAACGGGTTTAATTTCTGAATAAACCTGCAGAAGATAGTAGTACATTTTTGATGGGAAGAATTTGCCCCCTTTGGGATGCAAATACTTCTGGATATTTTGCTATTGAATGTTTCTTAGTCTCTCAACTGCTTGAGCACTCAGGAGGCTGCAACCACAGAGATTCCATCATCTTTCCATCGAGGTTGAAGTTACCAGAACTGAAAATATTAGACACAATGAGAATAACATTACCTGCTCTTTGGCTTTGTTGAGGAACTGGAAGCAAAACCAAAGGCTGATTCCAAAAGCTGCACATGAATAGAGGTAAAATCGGTTCAGCCACAGGAAAGTTAAGTGAGCATGGAGATTGTCCCAGGTGTCTGCAGGAGTATCTGAAACACAACAGAACAAAATGTTACTTTTATAAAAGCCAGATATCAGGATAAATTGGAAATTTGTTCTCTGGTAAACATGCTTCAGACCAAATTAAAAGTGGCAGAATCATTGTATAATCTTAGAACTGTACTGTTTGGCAGGGACCATTAAGGACATCAAATCCAACAAGCTGTTCAACTCAGGAGCCAAAATTAAAGCATCTCAGATACGTTACTAAAACATCAATTGCCATTCCTTCAACCTTTCTTTACAGGACTTAATTTCTAGTCTCCTGATCATCTTTCTTGACTTTCTCTGAACCTGCTCAAAGTTCTCTGAATCCTTCTCAAAGTGTGATACCCACAGCCATTATGGTATTTAGAGCAGTGATCTGACCAAAGCAGAAAAGAGTGGAACAATTATTTACTATGATTTAGAAATTATGTTTCTGTTGATGCAGTCCTAAAATTGCATGTGCCTTGTCAGCAACATCATGTTGCTTGCTCATACTCCATTTGCAATCAGTTACTATTCCCAGATATTTTTCCACCATCATTATCATCTGTAAGTTATGTCCTCAGTGGGATCAAAAGAAGCACGATGATTGCAGCTTTGTCAAAACCACATTATTTTTATGAATACTGATGTCAAATGCACATACAAAAGATCTGGCTTGAGTTTTTCATTTTTGTTTCCTAAGTAATTATCATTATAGCATCCATTGTGAGCCCTGCTAGATATTTGACATCAACAATTAATTCAGCTTTTGTGGGGATAGGATTCATGCTGTGCAAATTGCTTTATTATATTTTTTATATATTTGAGATAGGCAGACATATAAATTGAATACATAAATATGAAATAAAGTGCCACTAGAGATCAAGCAAGCTCTGCCATAATGTACTTAAGTTTGACCATACTTGTTTGGTTTTCTTGTGTTTTATACTTTTAGTTACACTTGTACTATTATTTTTACTGTACTTTTGTAAGCAATCATCAGAACCATTACACGAATAAGAAAACTATAACTTTTATAAATTAATATTTACTAATCAAGGAAGAGCAAATACATTTTGAGATGGGGAGTATAAGGTCTATGCAATCACGAATGAATACTTGTGGGTAAGTGTCACTAAGTGCTTTTTCTTAAATGTCAGGTCATGTTTAAGTAAACCTTGCAAAATCGTCCTATTTATTTTCCCAGCAAACTTTCGACCGCTGCCCTTGCCCAACCCAGCTTCCAACTGAACCGTGTTTGCTTTTTACGGAAATTATACAACTTTTTAGATCCTGAATCTTCAACGAGCTCCAGGACTTCCGTGTGCGTAAAATACGCTGAAGGTTTAAGAATCCGTCGCTTGTCAAAAAAAAACCCCCACCTTTGCATGCTTTCTGGAGAATAAACCGCATCTAAGCACAATTAAGTAAGGTTTTTCGCCTCCGAGGACTTACCCATGTCTTCTTTCCCAAGCAGCAATTGCCGACCCTACCGAACGATGTTTTTCTGGTTCTATCGGGATCGGAGCGGGGGTCGTTCCCCAGCAGCCCCATCACTCGCCCCACGAGCTCGCAGGCGCAGCCATTTTGCACCTTCCACCCCCGGCATGCTGGGAAGAGGACATTAACCTCTCCGTGGCTGAAGAGAAAGTTCCCCCTCCGGCGCCGGTGATCGCTGCAAAACTCTCTCCCTCCAAAGCGTGCGTGTTTTTCATCAAGAAATAAAGAAGCTTCTTCCGTCTACAGAATCGAGTGTATCGGAGAGTTTGAGAGGAGAGTGGAAAATCCATGCATTTAAATAACACGGATCCTAAAGGCTTCGCGTTGGAATAGAGGGTGGGGTGGGGTGGGGTGGGGGGAGAGACATTGAGCCATGGATGGTGTAGGAAGTTATCACCCAGCTCTCTCCCAGAAAAATGAAATATCCTAGGAAATATTGAAAAGGGAGAATATTTCTCTGGCTGTGAAAAGGAAGAAACATCTTTTAAAAGACAGAATAGCTCCCTGTAGCTTTCTGCCCATCCCCACTTTGTCAATGGGCCATTAAGGCGGCCAAGCTAGTCCACTTTACATAATAAAGAGTTCTCCCCTTCAGCTCCAGGGAATGGGATTAAGGCATGATAATATTGGCCCTTTACCCAACTGCCACATGGCATCTGAGAACTCAACCAAACCTGGATTCAAAACGCAACCTAGAGAGTTGCCCTGCATGGGCCCATGGGAGTCTGACAACCAATCAGAATACAAGCTCAAGATCAAAGGCCAGAGAGGGCATAAAAACAGGGACTCAGCATCTCAGTCAGCCCTCCTCTTTTCTCCACCAACTTTGAAGCATGTAATCACCTTTTCTGTTCAGGACTCAAGCCATGTGGTCCTGTCCACCATTAAAACCATCTTTCCAAGC